TATATACATGGATTTATTGAATGACTGTGCCCAAAATGCGGCCCGTTTATTACTAAACAACGAAAAATATATTTTCTTGAGGTATTTTGTTTACATACTATAGATGACTTTAAAAAACATGAGCCTTGTAAATTAAGTAACTTGAATTAAATTATCTGAACATCTGCTCATCCCAACGTAAGTTACTACATTACATTGTATTGATATTGAGCCGATATTTGACTTTGTGCAGGCGAAGAACCTGCAAGGAACGGTTTATGACGTTATCTGTTTGGACATAACCTCTTTTTGTTGTGCGTAGGTTTTCAGTTACCATAAAAATTGCATTTAGCAAACCCGAAAGGGTAAATTTTAGCGAAATACAAATCGAAAAATATGCAGTTACAACAATATTAACATGAAAGACTGCAACAAAAATAATCTTTGCCCAAAAATGTAACGTGAACATGTGATTGCGTGGCCTGCCTTAATATATCATGTACGCACTAGCTACTGGGCTGAATAAAGATATCATTTTTGTTTTGTTGAACGAACCAGCGGGCGGTTAAAATTATTGTTATACTCTCATCAGAATACAGGAAAAGACTTAAGGATTTGTTGTATTTAACCGATGTTTTTATAAGCGCTCTTAATTTTTTCTGAATTATTCCACTTTGAAATTGTAAATACTCTTCGTTGCTATTATATTTGTCGGGTTAACCTTTTTCAACGTAGCTGAAATAATTGTAATGGATGAATTTTATGTTGTTTTCTTTGTTGAGAAATTCATTTTAATTCCTTCCTTCCCGAATAGTGGACTAGTATTTCGATTATTTATATTATGTAAGAATTTAATCGTGGAGAAAAAAAACATGCGAACAAAGCTAGCTAGAAGCTCATTATTCTGTTACTTATTTATATTTGGTTTTATGTTAAATGAAGTGAATCAACACGTACGGATGTGTCTTTCAGAAATAAGTAAAACATAATATAATTATTTCTCATTCTGCGAAAATTATTACTAACACTGCATTACACTATGGTAGGGAGTCATAGCAGCTTTTCCTGTTGCATTATCGGGCAGGCTCGTCCGGAAAAGTCCCACGGTCTCACAGAAGACCGGCGTAAATTAATAGTTATATTTCTGCAATTCATGTGGATCAGCTGGAACCCACTTTTGTCTAGGTTCGCAACGCATTTGCAATCGCACAATAGTTGAAAATGTCCATGGGCGGTGGTAATCATTTAAAGGGAATTCCCGCTTTCTACTGCTCCTTGACCACCAAGTAAAAAATATATTAAGTGTTTCTCTTGGAATTATAAAGACAGCGAAATTCTCGAAATTTCGTGATTCACGTTCGCTTCAAATATTAAGAGGAAATGATAAGAGGACATCACTTATGCATGTCACGGACAATTAAATTATTATAAATATTCAATATGCTCTGGTGGAATTCCGAAAATTGTGACCGGATGCATCTATATTATGTAAATGTGTCGAAACCGGAAAAATGTGACAGTTAATGACATCGCTGCTAATTCAGTTAGCAAATTACTATTTTGTCGTAGATAAATATAATTAGATTTGTAAGTAATACAAAAATAACGCTAATTATTTTTGATGGTGAATGTGAATCAAATAAAATAACTAAAATATTTTCATGTACCGTTTAAAACTGTATCGTCCTAGATACAGTGAGAACTGGAGACGTGACTTGCACTTTGTTGTTGAACTGTTGAGGTGTCAGCTATTCATGCCAAATTGCTTCAGCGTTACAGAGTAAGTATCAACCTATTCACGCGCGTGACATGACCGCTTCTAATGTCGAAACGCTCAACTAGTCAGCAATGTCATGATCTTGCAAATATTAACAATGAAAGTTACGGGACTTAAATTCTGTCCGTGCGATCAGAAGCATAGTAGGAACTACGATGATAATGATACAATAAATGATAATTTTTTGAGTTAATAACAGATGCTCTTACCTTTATCAACATCGTCATAATAAAATCTATTTTATTCTACTGTTGAACTTAGGCCTCTCCCATAGACCATCACGATGATCCTGAGCCATCTGCGGTCATCGACATTCAGCACATTTGTAAAGGTTGTCAATCTAATGAGGGCTCGTCTTACACTGTGATGACTAATACGAAGGTGCCACTCGAGAATCTTTCTTTCCCATTAGTTTCAATTTTACGAGCTATTCGCCGAGCTCATTGCCACTTCAGTGTACCTTCTGAGCTATGTCAGTGTTTGATCTACTGCGGATGTCTGCATTGCGAACTCTATCACGTAGAGAAATACCGAAGATACCCCTGCTTGCTCAGTGACTGTGAGCTTTATCATACAGCCATCAGTGAAGGACCACATCTCAGTTCCATAGATCATCCCTGGCATTTATTGAAAAATTTAGACATAAAAGCTTGAGATACCGGACGAGAAGATTTGCCGGTCGGACCCTAGCAGTAGTAAATAAATTTACCTCCTGCCCGTTGTCAATAACGAAAAGACATCTCTGTTTAAATCTTTAAATTAAAATAAGGATCTTCAAATTAAAGCTCCAATTCATTTTGTTTTAACGTTGCCTTTGCGGGGTGATTTATTTTTATTTTTAATACAAAAGCAAAATTTAATTTCTAATATTATATAAATATAAAGTAAAATTTAAATATATTTTTATAAATATGATTTTTTTATGTCAAAAGGTGAAAAGCGCGTTAGTGGTTCACCTGATGTTAAGTGATCACCACCCATTGACATTTGCAACATCCGTAAGGTTGCAGATGCATGGCCACCTTTTGATAAAGTGGTCTCCGGCTACCTCACTCAATAGACGTAACGTAGAAGTATAACATTTCCACTTCACGTCGGTCTTCTATGAGGTCATGGTACTTACCCGGACAGACTTGCCCATTCGGGCAACAGCGAAGACTGTTGCGTCAAATTTACATTTTTTAGTTTTTTATGGGTGCATTTACTCGATATAAAAGGAGTTAATAATTTGCATCATTGTGTTGTTATTATTATTTGTCAATTTATCTATGTGTAAATAACACAAGAATAGTCATGCGTAGGTAATTCTGCACTTTTAATACAATATACTAGAACTTATGAGGACCACGTGCAGAAAATAATTTCCGCAAGTCGCAGAGGCTTGCCAGCATATTATCATAACACCTTCACCGGTATTTCATAAAGCAGTAACTCACGATGTTTATTAGCTCATGCCGGCAGCTCAGCTGTCAAGGATACGTGAATCTTCCCTGCGTCATTATGGTGAATAAACCGCACTTCGATGTGGAAACTTCTGAGGAATGTCACATTATTTCTCATTAGGACTATTCCATTTGAATGAGACGCACCGAATTCGTAGAAGGTACGTCAATATTTGTTAAACGATATAATTATGTGGCCGGCGCCAAATAGACGCGTTAGAATTAATTAGGTACAGTGGAATAGTAAAATAAATAAAACAGTGGACTGGATTCACTTAATAAATATGACCTTATGATTAGTACGAGAAGTAAACAAAACATGAATTTGTTTTAATATGTTTACCTGAACTGATCTTATTTTTTTGATATTAAAAGTACCCTTAAATTTGTGTAATAAACAGACGTACAAATGTATCTTAACTCTAGTGTAAGCTGCATTAACACATTGCATCTTCAGATAACAGATATCCTTCAATGTAATGGCTTGAAACATTATAAATTTAAATTCTATCCACATATTAAATAGTCGGCTTTAATCAGATCTTACACAGTTATTAATATTCTATAGACCCAATTACAGATAATTTTATTTCTTCGATGTAATGCAATCCTTGGTAGAAGTTTTACCTCTGTTACCTTTACGATTAGCCCTGACGGGGTACACAGAGGTAGCTCGTGCGATCCACAGTCTAACGAGTCCATTAGACCGAGGTTGTAACTAACAGGTCAAAGTGTGAGTCAGAATGTGTTTGACGTAAGAGATCTTAAAAACGGAAACCTTATTTTCCTACACGATAATACTATTTTAAATAGATAAAATAAAAGTACAACTGCATGATCTAGTGAATTGATAATCGATATTCATTTGTGCATTACAAAAATTAACGTTCAAAATGTTTTTGTGACAAACTGAGCAATGAATTCTTACTGTATAATTCCTGGTGATAAACAGATTCCTGGTGAATAGTGTCACGTGGGTAAATCCGTTTCTATAAAGAAATATAATTCTAATGATCAAACAGTTAAAATCTTAAAATTTATTTAATGCTTATAATTAATAACGTGGCATTTTATTAATAAAGCCGCAGCTTCCAATGCAACTAATAAATTGCTAGTTATTTAGGACATAATATTCGAAATAGAACCAGTACGACGTAAATACTTTTTGATTTATTAATTTTTCATATTATCTGTCAATTTTATATATCGTTTCATAAACGAATCAATAATAACAGTTTTCAGATACAAAAATAACAGTTATTACAATAAGTTTCCAAAAGTAGATTGTTAATTTTAAAAAAGCAATCAGCTAAGCATTTTACAAAGACATGATTCGCCGCTGTCAAGAAAGCTTTCCCGCAACAAAGCTTAGCTGTCAAGCGAAATTTCACACGTGTGATTAGTTTGAAGAAGTGGTTTTAGTGGTACCATTTCGAGCGATAATTTTTGTATGACACCGATACCCCAATAAAGTAACTCGGCCCAACAATGGCATGCAAAGATGAAAAAAAATACGTAGGACGATCGATGTGTGCGTGCGTGTTGTGTTAACGGCGCGCGTGTGCTCGCTCCTGCAGAAGAGATGAGTTGATGTTGCGAATGTATAAAAGCGAAGCGTCGATTTCGAAATCAACACAATGATTTGAAATTCTCTAAGGAGTGAACACACAAGGGTACGAGCGTGAATAGGTTTCCGCATAGTGATCGCGAATATCTTTGCAGTGAACAAGTGTATCTCTTTACAATAGAACGTTCTGAAGTGATACTATTTTATTTTTGATCGTCCAATAAGTGCTGCAAGGATGCTCTCTATCAAGGTATTCCAACTATAAACATTTCTGCGCCATTTTATTATTTAATTATTTTATACATCGGAAAAAGAAGTTAGAAATATTGCATATTAGAGTTTGTTGCTACATCTGAAATGTTTGTTTCGCAGTATATGATTGTAATCTGCGTGGTGGCAGTTGCCGGCACACCCGACGAGGACGGCAAATGGCATCCCTATAAATATGGAAACAGTGGCAAGTAAGTAAATGTCAGATCGAGTGTAACTAGGCATTTACATATTAAATGCATAGTTCACCAAGCTTACGAAATACCTATGAGAGCGAAATTTAAATACAATGAATGCGTGTTAAGAAACAATCTTAGATTAAAAACAAATCTATATTTCGTACAACGATGTAATAAATAAAATTTTGTCCCTTTAGGGTGTGAACGGATTATTAATAAACATTTTTCTCCTAGGTACATACCAACGGACGAGGGTAAATACATCCACATTCCGAATCCCTACATCCATATCGACAACCCTTACAACGGCGGCTTTGGACCATACGCTCATGACTACGAGCCTTATGTTAGCGCTGCTACCGAAGATCGTTACAGGCTGGTTATGACACCACCGAAAGATATACCCTACTACAAGGAGGGATATTACAGGAATAATGGAATCAAGATCATCAGTCAGAAGCATGTGTACGATGAGGATAAATACGATTTCAAGTGAGGATTATTTTTTGCGTCTTTTCAAATAGAACACAAGGAATGCCGCCAGTTCCTATGTTCTAGTATTTGACTTAAAATGAAGTAAAAATTATTATTAACATATTGAATATGTAATAGAGGTTATTTATTAGGTTGTCGCTTTAACAAAGTCCGGCCTTGCCAATAGTTTGAATGTCGCGCTTATCAAATTAATTTGCATACATAAAAGGCAGTTAAGATTAACCGTTATATAAATTAATGTTCTAAATCCCACTTTAGACTTTTTGTATAATTGAATCAAAAGTTAATGTTTAGTCCCGATTTTTCAGTTTGGGCTCGCTCGACTTTACCTTAGAATTTACACTTACAATATTTTTCTTCCTTGAAAAATACACGCTACACAACTTATATTACTAGGTTAGAGTTCAAAACTATTTATAACAGCGTACATAAATAACTTGCCATAAGTTCAGACATAAATTCCATTAATGAATGATGACAGGAAATTTACATTACAGCAACCTTATGCCGTGATGTTAATTTCCTATATCAATTCATGGAAGTTTTTAATTCGTCGCCAATAGAAGTAAAGAAGCCAATAGAAGGAAGGAAAATACATGTTTTGTGTATAAAAATATGAAAAAAAACCCTTGTAATATTTCAGCTTCGAAACGGAGAACAAGATTCGCGCCAAGGAGAACGCCATACTCAAGAACCCCAACACCATTGATGAAGGCATCGCTTCAAAGGGATTCTACGAGTACCTCGGCCCCGATGGGTTCATGTATAGAGTCGATTACACCGCCGACGAGAACGGCTTCCGGCCAAAGGTCAAGAGGTTGGAGACGCCGTACTCTGGGAAATGGGTGTTAGAGAAGATCAACTAGACAATATCCCTGCCAAACTCCAAATATTTATTTTTTCCTACTACTTTTCCTCGTAAAGAATCAGTATTTTGACATAAGTAGACAATGCTACCTAAGCTTTATTTTTAACTCTACGCCCTCATCCAGTTTTTGACTAAATCATGAACTTAGAACTATGCCATAATTATGACATTTCGATCTAGCATCAAAATGTTTTATGAACAAAAACTTATATACTATTTGTGATTTTCAAATTTGTTATAAGTACAAAATTTTGACATAAATGTCAATCCTGTCTGGAATTCTTCGTCTGCTTAGAATATTTTAATTTATATTTAGATTTAAGAGCTTTGAATTTAGGCACTTATTTATGAATTGTGATAATAAATTTATATTTCAATATATTCTTGAAGTTTTTTACTTTTCCCAGTGTTTTTTCAGATATGCAAACCACATGCTTTATGCATACACATGTATGAAGTATGTGGTCAGGTCCACCCCTTATATTATCTTCCAATATAATACTTTAAAGATTTATCCCTTACATTATTACCTTATTACATTCAAATTTATTTATAATAAATTTCTTTTCTCTCTCATCTATATATTTCATATTAAAATAATTCAATATAAATAAAACATTCAAAGCTACCATTTTAAACACTTTTAACATTTTAGAACACATTTTCTCTCAACGTTCTCTAGTCCCAAACTAAACAACGCTTGTACTATGGGTACTAGATCACAGATAAACTGTAGAAAAATACTATGTTCATCACACAATATTTTTCCAGAAGTGATGATCGAACCCACACCCTCTGGCGCAAGAGGCAGGTACACTACTCACTAAGCCATTCGGGTCGTCAACTATACTTTTACAATTATACTTAGCGTTGCGACTATTGAGTGAGGTAACCAGGGTCCACTTTTTTCAAGGATTGTCAGCGCATCTGCAAGCCCTCAGGTTTTTTAGATGTTTATGTGCGGCGGTATTCACTTAAAATCATGAACCGCATGCTCGCTTGATAACTTTTTGCATAAAACAAAACAATCATCAAAATTTCAGACCAAACGGACACAAACTGAATAAATAATAATGATCTATACAGCTGGAACAGAGAATATTATACTAATAAAACATGAAATTTTTATTACATAGGCAATAAAAATTATACAGATATTTCTTTGATCACTTTTAGATTTTAGTTTTTCTCAGTCAAGATTCATTGTAACCAACATCATTACAGCTGGACACTGCAACAAGTGTTGTCAGTTACGCGTGCTATGTAGACAATCCAATGTCTCTGCAGTCTTGCTAGTGAGGTAAAATTTCCATTATTAATTGCAGTTAATGAATTTGACGAGAAAAGTAGTATTTACTGATACCAAAGTTGAGCAGTTCGACCCACGTCGAGGCAAATTTTAAATTTTTATTTTTTATTGATATGAACCTCTCTTAAACACTGCATCCATCGATAAAGCTTAATCGTTTTTCGGTTCAAATGTTCTCATAAGCTCACAGCAGGATAACTCTTGCCATACGCGGAAAAGAGAGCAAAATTAAAATGCTTGCCAAGTCGCAAACATATTGCTTGCAAGGCAACTGACTCAATAAATAATTAAAGATTCTAAATAACTTCTTGCACGTAACAAATATCGTAATGCCAATAAAATTTTGTAACTAATTGCAAGTTTTAAAAATGAAATGAAAGATATACTAAAATAGGGAAAGAAAACATTGATACAAAAATTGATATCCAATAAAGTATTTGAAATATATGTAAACAACACTAAAATGTCAGTATTACCTATTTACTTCATTGAGAAGTAGTTTTACGCGTTCTAGACTTAAAAACTATTAGATTTTATATAGTATGGTCACTTATTGATTTTCTTTTTGTCACAAATTCAAAACATAGGGGCTATGCATTCTTAAACACATTAATGTACTATGTTTTTTTTAGTGCTAAACTCTAAAATCTCATGATTTTCTATATTGGCCAGTTCTCGAATATATCGTCCTTGTGTTTAATATAATAATCTGTATGTGTATAGTTCATCAGGCATATCTTCGAAATTACCGCTTTGTGCGGCAAGCAGCGGAATGATAGTAGATTCGTGCGTGCTGGGGCGTTGGCAAGAGTTTTGGCAGAATTGTTTTGGCTCAAGCTTGCGAAGGCTTTTATGGAGGCAAAGGATATTGACCGAGTGCTGTGCCAAGTGGACGGCGCCAGTGCGACGGACGCGGCACGGTCCCGAGCCGCTGCTGCACTGCGCACTGCCTTATGTGTTCCCTGGTTACTCCCCAAACGATAACGTACGAGCGTAATGATACGTTCCGATGCCAAATAGGTCCCGTCCGTTACTATCCCGCTGCACCCCACCGGAGGTTTTACGAGGTACACCGCTAACGGGACGCGACGTTGACTAAATTAAGGAGTATCCGCGACCTCAAAGAGAAGTACAACGACCCGCCGCAAGTCCCCGGGCATAAAGTTTGGACGACAATATGCCGTTTAATTTTAACCCGAATTAGTGATGTGTATGCAAATTAATTCGGTTCGATTATGGTATCGCCGGTAGCCAGCGAAACGTTTACGGCTACTTCGTTACGCGAGGTATTCTTTTTTGGGGATATTTGATAATAATTAAGTATTTTAAACGTTTATCGGTCTCTTTTCTTTACAATGCTACTCAAATGTTTTTAGCCTCGTTAGCGTTTAATTGAATAAAACGCTTTTATTTTTCTTTAATTCGTTATAAATGTTGAGTGTAATACAGTAAAGAGACATATATAAATATTTATACGCTTAAGTTTGATAGCGTTGCGTTATTAATTTATAAACCATTGCAAGCTTTTGAAATTCAAAAGGAATTTTTCGCGAGCATATCAATAATATATGATTGGATTAATTGCATGTCAATAAAACGGCGCGAACAACTTATTCATTTTAAAAACTTGAATGTTGCAATTATCATATTTCGGTCAATATTTTCGAGGTTAAAATTGATTTTACTCTATGGAATCTAGTTAAACGACACGTCATCGCCCGATTCTTAATAACACACGATTTGAATAACGGACAAAAAAGTTGTTATTTTTGGAATGAATAGTTTCACACAAAATGAGGGTAATTCTGTGCAAATGATTGGTTGGAAGTCGTAAATGCTTGGTAGCCCGGTAGCCGATAATTTTGCGATTGGGAACTACCGGAAGGAGGGCGGGTGTTGCTGCCCGCTGCCTTAATTGGCCACCGACCAACTTTACAAAAAGAAACCTTACGCGGAACGTGATGTGGTTACAGGGTTGTAAGAAAATCGACCCCTCACTTTTTCCCATTCGATAGTTGCGCAAATAAACTGTGAATTGTACCATTTTAGTCTCTTCTTTATCAAGAGTAAAGAGTTTTATGATAATACGTCACAATACCTGACGTGATTGTTTTGTTGTTTGTTATGGTGTAGTACATGAGGGCATCAAGGTGGCAAATCTATAATCTATACAGATGAATAAAATTGGAGTGTCTGTTTGTAATATTCAAATAACCGCTTTTTACTAAATGCATATGGATGTATACACGGTACACATATCAAAATAACAATTTTCACAATTTTTCTCCGTCTGTCTGTCTGTTTGTTCCGGCTCCGGTTCTCTGAAACGGCTGGAACAATTTTGACGGGACTTTTACTGGCAGATAGCTGATGTAATAAGGCTTCTTTTATTTTAGATATTTTATTTATTTTTATTAATATATATGTTATAAAATTCCACGTGGATGAATTCGCGGGAACAGCTAGTATATAATACAAGATCTACTGCCATTAAAGGCATTTCAGGCTATTTTTTTATTTGAACAGTAATAATAATCAACAATACTTGTCAAGTAACTGTTAAGCCAATGATCCAGATAAAACAATGACAGTCGCACAATTAGTGGTTTAAAACTGTTTCTATCAAGTTTGTTTTCAAAGCGTCCAATAAATTAAATGTCTGCATGTGGTTAGATATTTATTTGAAGTATTCCATCACATTTAGATAAACATACAATGATACATAGAGGTGATGCTAATAAAACCATGTTAAAATTGGTATCGTAGTTAACACAATTAAATTATTATCAAATTCTTATTCTATTGGAACGAAACCGATTATGTAAAAATTTAGAGGAAAAACCTACGCTACAACATATTACCTCACTAAGTTACTCGTGAGGCTTAATTTTTTGTTTTTAATACATTGCCCTTACTTTAGGATAACTTTATCCTGTGTTGTAAGGACCTTTTAGAAACATAAATTTCACGCTGACAAATACACAGATGCGAAACAACCATCTGTGGGTCACAGAAATAGTTGTCCCGTGTGGGAATCGAACCCATGACCCCCGATGCCTAAGCCAATACCTTGGCCACTGCGCCACGGAGTCAACTTAAGCATTGTTAATTATAGTAATGTTTTTATATCTGGCTATTATGACAGTCAGCCTTTGACAATCTGTATTAACCGGAACCTTCATACAGGCTTTAAAAATAAAATTAATTTTTCAGTTTAATAATAAAAGAAGCTTTAGCCTTTTACGATGTCCTGTTGACAGCTGTATTGTATTAACTTAAGTGGGACCTGTTTATTATTAACCCGAATTTCTTCCTTACTCATGTTATCACTATATTTATATCATCACTATATTTTTATCATCACTATATTATCACTATATTTATTTTTTTATTTTATATTAACCATAAAAATTTAATATAACTATAATATTTCATAAATTTAGGATTAATTAGGAAGAAAAATGAGGATAAAATCAAACCCCTCGTGTTCGACGCAATTTCCTGAGAATGTAAAGATTAATTATTAATACCACTTTTTTAATATTTGTCTTAAACATTAAACGTTAATTACAGTACATGACTGTTTAAGTGTGGGAAAGCGCAATGATGAGTGCACAGGTAATAATAGTTATTCTATAATTGCACGAACTCTTGATATGGACTAATTTAGTAATAGTGAAGTAGAAATGTCATGGTTCTGCACTTCGTCTGGTGAGTGAGGTAGCTGGGTCTCACTTTTTTATAAGGCGGCAAGGCATGTGCAACCCAATGGGTGTCCATGGGCGGCGGTTATCACTTAAACGTTAGGTGGACAGCCAGTTCGCAGTTCTCACATGAAAAAAAGTAACTAAGAATATAATATAGTGAATATTTTCATAATACACGGCTATTTATTTAGGGTTTTTGGGTGCCGAGGATATGAGGTGCTTAGCTCAGTTGGCTAGGGCGTCTGGAAGTGGTACTTGGAAGACTCAGGTTCGAGAATCTCAGGCTGGCAAAAAATTTCAGCTCGATTGTGGATTAGAACAAGAAACAAAAAAATTGTCCTGTATATTTCCACTCGAAATTTAAGGGGCATTTTACGGGTATGAAATTCTTCTCTCAACTCTAACTAATAAGACTGTGAACTGTGTAGTGAATTAATCAAACAACGGTAAATAGAAACAAATAACAAAGCGCCTACAACAAAAATAAAACAAGGACATAATCCTATAAATGGATTATGGAAATAAAAATTAAAAATCAAATGATAAATAAAAATGCTCTAAAGGAACATACCAAAAAAGGTAAATTGTAAGAGAATTAAATAAAAAACGCGTGACAAACAAATAACAACAAATTAAAAACCAAAAACGAACATTAAAAGAAATAAAAGCTCAACAGTGTCTTAAGTTACTCAACATTTGTCTTTACAGAGCCCATTCGCTTTGGCACTTACAATAATTTCGTTTATTTAATAATTTCGACTAGTAATTATACTAATAATAGACTGACGATGGAATGTTCGAACACGCGTCATTATATCCGCCATTAAAAAACAGTAAACCTAAACACGACTCTTTTTTCGTTTTCCCACATTGGAATAACATAAAAGTTCGCCGTAGTCTGGACGGTCTCCAAATAAGGTAACTGTCGCCAACATCCGCCTCGGGCGCCAGTATAGCCACGCCAAAGTTTTATTCGCTGCGGTTTCGACCTCACATGACAATTGAATAAAGCCGAGAACTTATTGTTTGGACTTTTAATAATTATTGGTTGCGAGCAACTGCTCGCTTCCGGAGTCATAGGTTACTCGCTGCGCTTTATCGGATGCGAATTGAATTTGTAGGTGAGAACGTAGGTTGACATTGAATGGGACTTTCAAGTATTACGGACATGCATTATGTTAATAAAAATATTAAATTTTATTTCGCCCGCATCTGCTTACGTTTGTGTGAAATAATTATTATATTCCTTTGAATACTATATCTAGAATGTCTCCGTAGATTTGACGATTTGGAAGAAGCTTTAATGGATATTTATGCTTCATAAGTATGTGTATATATTTTATATACTATAAATATACCTTGATATCAATGAAATTTTGAGTAAACCGTTTATTTGGTTATATTGTCATAATAAGTATTAATTCATTTATTTTTAAAGTTTTTTATAGTGCTAATACTTAAAAAACGAAAAGAATGTCGCCACTGTGGGAATCGAGCCCACGTCTTCTCGTTGTTTTTTAGTATTTGAAGATATGCTTGGCGCATCTATTGTTACATCCTTTCCAGCATACAAACAATTTTACTATATTATTATTATTTTGTACTAGTTTTAATCTTAAGTGCAGAGATTAGCGCTATAAAAAACTTTAGATTTCTAAAAAGCAATGGCGACATCTCTCGTTCGAAGTTATCGTTGTAAAACGAAAATATTCAACATTGTATGAAAAAAAAACAGACTAAAACATGGCTGAATTAAAATGTAAGGTCATCAGATAAATTGCATAAAAATTTTCAGCATCACCAGTATTCGAAACCACACCTGGGTACTACAAATGCCCGAGCCAACTGGCGGTCGACATCCTTATGGTGTGAAACTCTCGACGACTAAAATATCTGTCTGATACATCTCTCCATAGTACAAATAACGTATTGCAAACCAAATCACAGATTTTCTTTATGTGAGAATGTGGCAAGCGATATTTCCCCTAGCTACCTCACTCAACGGACGAAAGGCATAAGTATAATCCTTCCACTTCACGCCGGTCTTCTCTGAGGTTGTGGTACTTCCCTGGACAGAACTACCCATTAGTGCACTAATTTTCATAAAATTACAGAATTTATTCATGGAATATTGCGTGTGAACTTTTATTTCTACTTGATATACTCGTATTTTTACACTTCGTAATTTTATATAAGATTCATAGAAACTAAAAGGCTCTTTTATTGTACATAAAAGAGCCTTACAAAGTTAAAGCTATTCTATTTTTAGAATAATATTTAACAAATT